TTTTTTTTTCTAGATTCTTTTTCTCAAGTTAGAATACCTGAATAATTTTTTCAAGAATATGTGGAATACATAAGACATATACTTTTTGAGACTTTTCATATCTAAAAACTTCTGAATCCTGAGCTATCTGCGAAATGTAGTTTGAAAGGCTAAATCTAAGATCATAATCTCCTTTAAATTCTGGATGCATAGCAGTTTATTTTTTGGCATTTAGAGATTCAGATGAGAAATCTAATAACGTCAAGGCTGATTTTTTTTTGTTGTTTTTGTTGAGATAGAGTCTCACCCTGGGTAGAGTGCTGTGGCATTAGCATAGTTCACAGCAACCTCAAACTCCTGGGCTCAGGCGATCCTCCTGCCTCAGCCTCCTAAGTAGCTGGGACTACAGGCACGTGCCACCATGTTCAGCTAATTTTTTCTATTGTTAGCAGAGACGGGGGGTCTTGCTCTTGCTCAGGCTGGTCTAGAACTCCTGAGCTCAAAAGATCTTCCTGCCTTGGCCTCCCAGAGTGCTAGGATTACAGGTGTGAGCCACTGTGCCCGGCCAAGTCTGATTTTCTTTCCATTGTTGTCAATCTGCTTTTTCCTCAAAGTTTGTATAATTTTGTGTTTACCACTGAAATTCTAAAATTTCATTGTATCTGCATATAGTAGAAATATCTTTAAAGAAAATTTCTGTCTTTTGATGAGCTCTTTTAATCTAAAGACTCAATTCCATCCAATTTAGGAAAATTTGCTTATATTGTTTCTTTTATTATCTCTACCAGTTCCATTCCTTTTTAGAATTTTCATTGTATAGAAATTCAGTTTCTTGGAATTATTTCTATATCATATACCTTTTCTCTCATATTGACTTTTTTTTAGCATTTTTGCTTTGGATTCTGGGAGATGTCCTGCTAGTGATCTCTTACAATTCAGTTATGTTTTTCATCAATGTTTATTTTGCTGTCTATTCCTTCTACTGAAATTATTGGAATCTATTTTTAATGGAAGAGGCTGGAAATTTGTTTTTGTTTTTTGGGTTTTTTTGAGACAGAGTCTCACTTTGTTGCCCGGGCTAGAGTGAGTGCCGTGGC